ATTCTAAACCACGAGGAAAAATGGATTTTCCGCTGGTCGGAAAATTTCTACCTCGGAAAAATGAAACGATGACCGACCCTCTCACCACGCGATTCGTCGCGCTCGAGCTTTATTATTGACACGGCAGTGCGCGGCAAACAATGTTTCGCGTGTACGCGCGCGCCAGCTGAATTTTTACGTCCTCGTTTTAATTTGATTTTATAGCGACGACACCTATTTATTACGCCTTTATTTGATCGCGCCAATCAGCTCGGCTCGATATTGGATCCGAACCGATCCACCGCCGTCGTGCGTCCACCCCTTGTCGTTCGTCGAGCTAATAATATTAAATCGAAAAATGTGAATTTAATCTTCTCCCGGATTCGGTACAGCGCGTTCCTCGGTTGGTTTTTTTTTGTTTTCAGTTCGTGTTTTATCGGGACGATGCGAGCGAAATATATATTTGGGAAGAATATGTATCGGGACACCCGTGTTTGTGGATATAAGCAGACAGACGGGCTGGAAACGCGGTTCCGTTTCGTTGATTCGGAATGTTTGCCGTGTGCCCACGCGTGATTGATGACGGAACGCGGATGCGCGGAGGATTTTACAAAAATCGTTTGAAAGCGTTGAACGGTACATGGTAGTATTTTCGTGGTTGTTCTGATTTTGTGGGATCACTGGTCTCTGTAGGTGTACAATCGAAAACAGGTATCTGTTTAGAAATCATTTCCTTTAGTCGCACCTATGGAGAAGGTGTTGAAACATTCTCCAGTGGTAAACGACATTTTGGTGTCTTTTCGGAATTATAAATTATCTACTGTAAAAGTTTCTATGATTTGGTGTAGAATATTAGATATCAATGAATAGATCTTCTCGTATATTTATGTATTTAAATATATAGTAATTTAACGTTCCCTCTAAATTGTTTGAATTTAGCAAAAAGTGATGAATCTCGTATGTACTGTTGAAACGAGATGTTCTTGTTTTAATATTATCATTTATTGGCGATTCACTGGGCGGTTCAGAATTTATTTCTGCAGTATTTGGGCAAAATATTGTATTAAATATTCATATTATGTATTTACATACCCACTCTGCAGCCGTTTTTGATAGAAGGAACCTTGTCCTCGGTAAATTCACTGTTAATATTGTTGGTCGATCGATATCGCGGGAACAATCATTCGACCAGCTGTATATGATCTTTACAGGTACCAGACAATGAGTTTCATACATCTCTCGACGAATCGTCGTAATATTTCGGAATGGAAATGTTTAGGGCTGTCTGGGTTTCCGCAAAAAAGGTGACAATTACGACATTGCAGCAGCATATGAGTATCATCGTATACGCTAGCGAAATGACGAAGAACATGGAATTCTTGAAACGTGAAAAATGCGGCTGGCATGGCGCAGAGTAATTAAAACATATATTCCATGGGACAGGTATTAACGACGCTGAGAGTGGATGAGTACTCTACGAGTGGGTGGAGGGTTCAGTTAAAAAAAAAATACACTGGGCGATCCACTTAACGTTTACATTAAAATCTGTTTTTCTTCTGTATCGTACACGTAGCAAAGACGGACAGAACAGTATATATCTTTTCAACGAGAAGTGTACCACGATAGTCAGCAACGCGTTTCGCTTTAATCGAAGAACCCATTCAATCGTAAACGATCGGGTCGGAGCCGATATCTCACCTCTTCCCCGTGCGCGTATTACCTACCACGATGCGCGTCGACGGAAGCTCGTGCCGTTAAGTATAGCGTCGGCTGGAGGGATTGTGAGAGATTGTGAGAGAGAGACAAAGGCGGGCATGGGTGCTCTCCGCGGCGAAAGCCAATAAATTAATTGGATTGACCGCGGGTGGCTTTGCGCGGACAAATGGGATCAACGATTCTGCCGATCAGCAGAGCGCGCGCGTGTGGCTCCGTCGTCGATTCTTCCCCAAGCCTCGCTCGTTCCCTCGGTGTCGGCCTTTAAGGCAGCCCGTTAACCGGATGCCCAGGTATCCCCGATGCGTTTACACGTGTTCAGGTATCGTTCAGTGAAAAAAAAGCACACGGAACACACATACACAACGACCCTGGAGCCTCTCTACACCTCTGCCTCCTGTCCATGGTCTCTCGATGCTCGTGTATACGCAACCCCCACCCCTCTGCATACGCCGTGACAAATAAGATACACGGTGTCGCCTTTGACGGCTTCGCGACGACTAGCACGAGCGCGTTAGCAGCTGGAAAAAATATTACGCTAACCTGATAAGCCACCGGTATCGATTTAGGGGTGGGGGGGGGGCTAAGTCGTCGTCGAGGGGTAGTTCCGTTTCGTAAGAAGACGGTCGCGTTCTGCTCGACTTTGCCGCTGAAGAATCTTGAGACCCTCGCGGCTAGGGGTTAGGTTTAGGTTAGGTATTTTTTGACCCAAGCTCGATCCTCGACAATAAAAGCAGGGGGGTGGGGCAATAAATTATGCGCTTGTCAAGTTCCACGTCCCCCCAGTGGTGGGGATGAAGTAGAAATTCTTTCGAGGTACTGCCTATCCGACTCTCATGGAGCCTTCACTGTACTTCCATTTACTTCACTGCTCTAGTCTATTGGACAAGGATGTATTCATTCGTTCGTGTTCAGGAATAAAATGATGGATCATTTTTTCCACGTTGTTACGAAAACAGGTATACACCGAGTCTCGTAACTGACGTAGAAACGGTGCATTTCTGGTGTGGTAAACGGGAAACACGCATCTCATATTTCCCGTTTTTCCTACCTCGGTGCACGCGGATTCCACGATCAACTTTTACGTTCGCGGCGGTTTTTCTATCAAAGCTCGTGCGGTATATGGCTAAGGGCGAAGCTTGTATGGAATATATGTATACGTGGTGTGTGTATGGATAGGTGGGTTCTCTTCATCGCCGGAGAAAGGACCTCGAGCGACGAGGAGAGGCGAAAGAGCAAAGGGCGAACGGTGGAGGGGGCGGAGAGGTGGGGAAGTTGGTGGTGGTGGTGGTAGAGAACTATTTCAGCTTTTACGAGGCCGTCGTGGCGTATCCGTTTTGCGGGGTACGACGTGCAAAACGATCGATAACACGCTCGTAACGTTATTACCGACAGGTATACGGAGGTGGGTAGCAGCGGTACTACCGGTAATAATGTGGCTTTTACGGTCGTGGGCGCTGGTACAGCTGCCGCCAAAGTCGGTAAGCGTGGGTTTCCATCGGGTTCTCAAATGCCGGAGCGGCAACCGAATTTGCGCCACTATTACCTTCGTCTCCGCCACTCTCGACCCTCTACTCCTCCTTCCCCCGTTGTTTCGACGAGAACAAAGCCAGCCGGACTACGGAATACGTGGCTCTGGTCCTTTATTGATCGAAGACAATTTCGAAAGATGCACTGAGGGTAGGGTTGCTTGTAAATCAGAGATTGTACTAGCTGGATGGAACTAGGGATCTTCGATTCTGATTCGATTCTTCTCTTGTAAAAATCACGAATTGATTAGAACGAAATTAATAAAATCAACGCAAAAAACTCGCTACATCAATAAGGTTACAGGAGTAAACATAGGAGCCCTTTTAACACGTCAGCGATTGATTTATGTACCTATATCAGATCTGTGACAAAGGGTGCCAACGTGTTAAAGCAACAACTCCAGTTTAAGTCACGATACACCGTCTCTTGGTATCTTCGAACACTGTTCAGACCATTAAAGTCGCGTACTTATCAGTCGTTCTAGTTCACCAATATCTTGGAATTTATGACACTCGTCAGAACTGAGACAGAAGGAACTGCGCGCTCGTTTCGTGAAAAGGCTATCAAGAACGAGCCAAGATAACTCGTCAACGGCCAATAATTAACCACGATTAACGACGATTATACACTTCGCAACCGCGTCGATTATCTGCGAAACGATAACGTCGCTCGTCGGATCGTTATGCTTGGCAAGGCAATATCGCAACACTGTACTTACCGGGAAACTTTTCCCCCTCCTCCCCATCCATGGGAGGGTACGTTCGCCGGCTAGGAAACAATGTTCCTCGCGCGCTCGATTTCCATGCAGAGTGTTTCCTGGATCCTTTTTCCCTCAGGGGAGGGAGGGGGGGGGCGCCACGAAGCCTTTTACGAGCTGAAATTGGCCGGCGGGGCAGAACCGTGCGCGCAACGTTTAAACTGGAGGCGTAATCAGCGAACGGAAGCCAGAGCAGCGGGCACGATTTCCGCCGCTTATGCCGCTCGCGTTCTGTGTGCACGCCTCTGGGGCGGCTGCCTTACGTGGGCCGTGACAAGTGCATCCGGCACATCGAAGGATTACCGTTTCTTCCGTACGCAATCACGTCGTCTGATTACGCTCGGGAAATACTCGAAGAAAGCCGCCCTTACTGAGACCCGTCGGTCGACCGATATACCCGAGGAGTTCGATGGGACTTTGCATATAGTATCGCGCGACAATGTCTGCTGATTCAGTTCGGGTCTTTATGCTGATTTGGTCTGGTCATTTTTTTGGTTTTGAATTGATTAAAATTGAGGGTTTTAGCCTTAACATGAATCACTTTGGATCTCTTAACCCAAGTCCAATCTGGTTCTTTCGATTTTCCGCACGAAAGTCCATCCACAAATAACTTTCATAACTGAAAATATTAACCTTCGAATCACAATGGAATTTACCGCACCGAATCCGACTGTAAGGGGATTCAGCAAGGAAATTCGAACTTTCAGTCTGTAGTGTACAAACGCGTATTTGTTACTGTTTATGGGTGGATACATTTAAGTGGTAATTACTGTTGTTTATTCGCCATTCTAAAACATAACAATCGAGATAATGGGCGAAGTTTATGACCCGGGAGCGCACGATTCATATCTCCGTGCCTGTGCGACGGCAGCGGCCGTATCGCGTGTGAAAATTCGGTCGTTCATCTCTTGGGAACGGTTTTTGCGACCGGGGAACGGGTGTCTAGCGCGATTCCCCGACGAATGAAAAACCATCGGATCGCCGGATGAGCTGACCTTATTCGTTTTATTTCATGTTTCAGGGTCCGCCGCAGCCCGGCCAGCAATATAAATTCTCGATCGGCGAGCTGTGCGATCGTATCAAGGAGGACTTCAACTTTCTTCAGACACAGTATCACAGGTATGCCTCTATTTTTCATGCCCGTAAAACAAAACTCCACCATCGACTGGGGACCCCTCATTACTCGTGGAAGCGCAATGTATCTTGGACGTCGATACGTGTCGGGAAAATTGCGATACATTTAATAATTGTGTTGTTGTTAAAAGAAAGCCCCCGACGTTTCCCGTTGGACAACACACGATACGTGAAATGAATCCGGTACTTCGAGACCGGTTTCTCTATCTTTATTTAATTGTCGATAATTTCTGATCGTTATTAAGTGTACGGTAGCGGTTATGCTTGTTCGATGGTATCTACTCCGTCTTCATAGGAAAAAGAAAAGTAATGATTGGTTTCGTTGCTGAGCGTGGTTTGTTAATTGTTCGCTAACTAATGGTACAAAGTCGATGATCGAAGTTCCTATGATTAATGATTCTGAAAGTATAAAGGAAAAAGAAGAATGAATTCTAATTGCTAGCTTTGATGTAGAAAGGACTTTTATCTCTCCTCGAGACAGACTTTCTCTATTTTATGTTACAGTGAACTGAAATATTAGAAAATAGATACACCGTACACGAATACACAAATTTTTCTTAACTTTTAACGAATTGCATCGGTCTTGTATACTTTGTACCAATTTCTTCAAAACATCTAAGAAAGGGAGTGATTATAAATAGAAAATATAAGTCGAAAATGTAGAATAAAATTTTGTCATTCGCGACTTCGTTTTCGAGAAAATCGACTTTGAAAATCTACTGGATACGCGTGCAATCGAATAGGACTTGACTAACGCGTCTGGTCATTGCATTCCGTTTCTACTTACTTAGTATGACGAATACGCCCGTTCCGGATGAATCTTTTAATTCGATTTTCTCGAAACCTAAGCCTCCGATGAAAATCTTCTGTTTCACATTATCGACTTATTTTTTTATGTAGAATCGCCTCCTTCCCGTTTGGACCACCAATTACAGACCACCTAGATTATACATTGTTGGGTACCTTTTGATCTCCTCGTTGTAATGAAAAAAAAACGTTACCATTAGAGAAATCTCAGAAGATATGACCTTCAATCTTATAGTCTAATTTCCCCCTAAAATACACTAACTTTCTTTCGAACCATTGTTTTGTACCGTGACAAATAAGAGAATAATTGCAGAGTTAGGTGGGATACCCTGTATACACTACGGGGAAACGATCTTATCTAGGAAACGTTTGCGCTAACGTCCTGTCGCTGCGTAGTCGAAGCTGCCAGACAAATCGACAAATGTACGCAGAGAGAGAGGGAAATTGTTTGTCCGAGCGGAAGCTATGCGCGCCGAAGTGTGCACACATAGCCCGGAGGTGAACGATGAGAGGAGACCACGGCGGCGGTTTTCGATTCTATCCACGCGTGTTACGCGTCCGCGAGCCATTCAGCTGCTTTACGGGCCATTCCACCGTAACTTTTCCTCATCACAGCTCCGGTATTACGAGCCCTTTTCTCCACGTTCACTCGGAATCCCATCGTATCTTCTTTATCCCGTGCCGTATAACGACCTTAACCGTTTACTGCCGCGCGTAATCATTTTTCGACCTCGATTCCCCTGGTATCTCAAACGTGGAAGACACGACGTTACTAGATACTGTGTTGTCTGTGTATTATGAGGAGAAACATAGCTTTTTGTTTTATTTTTGCGAAAGTTATCAGGCTTGTTTCGAGTGTCTAGTTTTGGATGAATTTATTAAGAATTCGAAGTTGAAGGGAACATAGACTTCAGTCGCTATTTTCATTGTATCCTCGTTAATCCTCGAGGATGACGGTGTTTGGGTCCACTTTTGTCCCAGCATTTATGCAAAACTTATAAACGATTGAAACTCACGGAAACTAACTGGAACGTCATAGTTGTTGGGTATCTCGATCCCCAGGTTGGCGATCCTCAAAAACGTTCACCATCCGAGGGATTGAGGAACAGTCTATTTTCGCATAAGTTAGGCTAATAATAATATCACAAGGGATTAAGTAATGAAATATGTTTATAAACTTAAGATTGACTGCAAATGTTAAGAAAGCTTCGTCAGAGCTCGCACGACAACCTCTAATAAGTGAAGGTTGCTATTCACGCTAAACCTCTATGTTGGAGTTGTGCACACGAGAAGAGGCACGGAGTTTCAAGGTTCGTCCAGGGAACAGCAGGGTCCCGCAGGGCCGTCGGCTATTCCGAGCTTAGGACGTCGTAAAAACGTAACAAGTACGCGAGTAACGTCGGGTAATCGGGGCGATAGGATCGCGCACGCAACCGCCGCCGAGGGAAAAGTAGCCCTGATAAGGGAGGGAACACTTTCTTTGGACGTGGGGGGGCAGGAGCTCTCAACGGGCCTGACGATCCCTATCGTCGGCTTGACACGTTAATTTATGTCCCGACCCTTTAACGTGTTAATTCACGACGTCACGTGCCGCACGATTTCCACCGAGGACGGAAACTTAAATTGTTGTTTCGTGTCGCGGCGACACGAAACCGTGGACGGGGAGGATGACGGTGAGCACCAGCCGCTAGAGGGAAATAGACCGAAGCTCTCCTCAAAGCTGCTGTCTCCTCCACTCTGCATATAGCAGTATAAATAGGCGCTAGGATATAGATACATGTATAGGCATTTCGATGCGTTCGCGATCTGCGCGGCACGGTCAGACAGTAACCGATTTCGCACTACTCTGCGGACCGATCCTTCCAAGGCGGAGTCCCCTAGTGGTGGGGATGACGCGAGGGAAGTTAACGTAGAGGTCTTTCTGCGCAGTTAAAGCGACTTCATTGTACTGCGTATGATTCCCAGAAATTTTCTTTTGGAATTGAAACTAGGCGTTAGTATTGTACGCAAAGATAACAATTTAATGCCCCTCAAAATATTGAAATTACCCCTCGATGGGGCATATGCTCCGCGCTGGGAAACCCTGCAAAGGACCATCAATATACTCCAATCATTCATTTTGTCAGCAATCACGTCTTTCTCCCTTCATACAAGGCGATCCGTTAGAAACAGACAACGGTATTATGTTACCTTTACTGTATTACCTGGTGCTACCCTGTGCCTCTTATTTGTCTTTTATTAAGAATTATTGCTATCTCGTATAACAGTGTTTCGTCACAAAAACTCTGCGTTCCATGGTTAAAGCATGACGAGATAGCCTACAAACGTCACATGCATTGAAAGTTCACCCTCGATCCCCTTTCACGGCGTGATTTATTTTCCGCGGCGTTGATTACAGCGCCCGCGTACCTGTACATATACATATATACACCACGTGCAAGAATTCCGCGCGAAAGAAAGATTGCACAAGCCCCCTGGGGAATTGTCCGTGCAAACAGCGGTGGCGACCGCGCGGAATAATTCATTTTATGTCTGTATTATGCACTCGATGATGCGGAAAGTGGCGGGCGGGCCGCGGCGTTAGTTTTATTATCAAACGCGGGCACGCCTCGGATAAATGTTCCTGCGAGCTCTCCACTCCGGTTGGGGTCAGAAACCGGTGGTAGGAGGAGGATGGAAAAGGGCGGTGGACTATAAATTTCGCCGTTTACAAATTGAGAGTGGCTGGAACCGTGGAGGGAAAATTTTCTGTGACTGCTTGAACCGAGGAAACAGGTGCGTGTGTTTATGTCTCGGGATCGTTTTCATCGTCCTCCTCCCCTCCCCGTGTCAATCTGAAATAATTAATTGGATCCTTGATCGGTTGCGCAACCGGAATTATCGTCCGACCGATCGTTAATATCACGCTAATTTATCGTGACGAAGTGGCGGGCTGCCTGGTCGCGGAATGTTTGCCTCTCCTTACACGGTCACTGAAATCCGCTAACGATTAACCGAATAATTCACCTAGACGGGGTCTGTTAAAGGAACTGACGCGGTGAGAAAGAGGGGGGGGGAGAGAAAAAAAAACGTGTCTCGTTACCGGTATCGAGATCACGATCGGGTGGCTACTTTACGCGAGACTGTCTTGGTACACACGCGAGGCTGTCGATCTCGAGCGCAATACCCGGTAGCCTGTACAAGGCGATTCAGAGAAGTGGGACCGGTGACAGCTTCTGGGGTTCGTTGGAAATTGAAGAAATGGCAGGGAAAGGATCGAACGGTGGAATGCGACGAGGAAGCGTTTACCTGTGGTTTCGTTTTTTTTTTCTTTTTTTACTTCTATTCTTCTTCTTGCGGTAACGATGCTGAGACCGAATGGAGTTGAACGTGATTGAAATGGGAACCGTAAGTTTTATGTATGCACGCTACCGCAAGTAAGTGCCAGGACACCTGGTCTGTACGAAGGAAATGTGATTTTTTGTAAAATTGATAATGTTTGTTCGTTGTAACATACGCGTTGTCCATCGAGCTTTAATGTCTCCTAAACGATATTTCTTTTAAACTTGTTGGAATTTGGTAATGCTTTGTAATAAGGAATAAGTTCTTTGTTTTTTTTTTTATCTGTTTGGATAAAGTTCAAATCGTCTGTCCTTCTTCCGCGGCGCATCCTGTACAGCGGTAAACAATAGAAAACGTTGAAGCTCCGGTGCTCGTCGGACTTTCGCTTCCACGATTCCAGACTCGAACCGGAGAACAATAATTGCCTATCAATTTCCATCGGCGGGCTGCTGCTCAGTAGCACTCAATTTCGCCCCGAAGCGATTGCGAGATTAGTTAATCGCCTTAGTGTCCTCTCTTTCTTTCGGAGCTCTGTCCAATTACGGAAACGAATGGAAATTGCTGCGCGAAGTCTAACCATCTGTCGAACCGTTGCCGTGATTGATAATCAGGACCTGCTCGATTCGTTATTATCGGAAACGCTCTTTTCTCTAATTTTTTTTCCCCTCTACTTGTATATAGAATGAAACTGAACCATTAGATCGCGGTAATTTTCATTATACGGGTAAAAAAGATTTCATTCACTCCAGGAAACTATCCAGAATGCATAAAAAATAGGTTATAAATTTTAGTGTCACGATGCATATAAACATTGTCCACCTCGTGTGTGTTCACAGATCACAAGGCATCTCCCGTTTCGTCACGGCGCGCAACGAAATTAATATTTAACCGTCCACCGTTACCGTTCGTTAATCGACATTTAAATTAATTCCGTATCGCTCGCGTTTCAGAATTTGTGATATCCACGAACCGCGCCCGGGATTCGCAAACCTTATCGACCGATCGGAATAAATTTCATGTTTAAACGGTTCTTTCCAACTTGGGTTTGCTCTCAGCGCGCTCGTTCCGACCTCGGTTATTTCAATCATTCGCTGTTTACAGAATGAAATATCAATTCACGGACCATCTCTGGGCTTCCCTCGCGTTGGTTACGTAAAAATATGGTTTCTGCAGACGGTTCGCCCACTCTCTTTCTCTGCACACTGGGAAAAATTGTAACTTTTGCTCTTGTATTTCTCCCCTGTGAAACGTATTATACTCTTGGAAGTATAGTCACCTGTGAAAGAAATACTAATATTAATAGAAAATTAAAATTCAATATAATCCAAACCAGTAAGTATGTTTAATAGTCAGGCGGTGGTTATTAAAATTCACAGTGTTAAGTGCATTTGTCTGTTACAGTAGACGCCTATTTTATTACTCTAGTGATAATATTTCGAATATTTCTTTAACGACCATTGTTGCGCAGGTGTAACACTCATTTTAAAAGAGCGTCAACTTCTGTCGCCGGTTAATATCTAACTTTTGTCAGCAAAGATCCGTGGTTTAACTGATGTGAAGTAAATCTCCATGTTTTACCAAAAAGATGCGGTGAGCCGGTTAATCGATCATGTAGACATTCCGCTTTCCTTTTCGCGACAAGTGAGAGCCGTGTCGTGAATATACGGATCTAATACTGGTAAACTCGCGGTACGAGAAAAGGAGTGTACGAGGTCTGTCAGCAAAACTAACGAGACTGATAGCGTAGAAATTTGTATTTTCAACTTGCCTACAAATCAACTTTATCCAATGACCTGGAATACGTTTACATCAATATACGCAGACCCCTTTGGCGTACGGTATTACGCAGCGTGTGCAATTATCACGGGCGCATGTATATTCGAGGCCTCGAGGGATATAATTTCGCGGTGCACACCGATAAACGAAAATATGACACGGTCTTGTTGTTGCCGTTAAAAAATGACTACCACCGTAAAAGTAATGGGTGAGACGGGATCGGACCGCCTCGTTTCGAGGCAAGTCGTTATGTCGCCGGGATCGATGGGAATTAATTTTCCATTTAACGGTCTATCATTTCCACTATCCGCGATAATAACTCGCCGCGGTAAAGATCGATCATTCGATTCGTGGAAAAAGCAACGTCGTTTCAATGTTGCTCCCGTGATTGTTCATTCTCGATGAAATTTACGGGCTTTTTGATGCTCGTGTATATCGGCATCACGATTTCTTATCGAGACCACAGAAATTTTAGTTGGAATTTCACGTTCATTATATCGATTAAAAAAAGATTATGTGCATACAATTCCATAGAGTTAGAGATATAATAAATACGGATCAGCCTGATTTTTAGTAAATCCGTGTCATCGATACACAGACGTATATACATCGATTTCCCGAGTTCAATCGAACGAAATGAATTTTGCGGAACGTTGACGCAATTGCCACCGCTTCCGATAGTTTTGATACGCGCTGTTCGTAGTCATTCTGCGTGACACACACACACACATGGAGACAGACAGATGGACAGGTAGAAAGTGAAGAGGGGGGAGGGATTTCACCTATACACACGGTTTTCATGTGCAGTGGCCGGTGTGTAACAACTATTATCGATGTTTGTTGCGGCTGCAGTAATTGTGTGTTTTTAATGGCTTTGCTGCGCACCATTCCTACTCTCTCTTTCTCTCTCTCTCTCTCTCTCTCTCTCTCTCTATTCGTGAATCCTCGATCAAGGGACGCGACTGAAGCGGAAAATCGGTCTCGCGAGAGCGAGAGAGAGAAATAGAAAAAAAAGAACACCGGAAAAGAGTTAAACGCCGATAGATCGTGGACGTTAACGATCCTGCGAGCCCGTTTCACACGCGATCACGTTCCTTACTCGTCACAGAGGACTGACGCACACACCGAGTGGACCGATTCGCATCGATGAACCGATTAACGCCCCTCCACCGTCCCGTTGGTACACAAGCGTTGTTGTTCCGGTAGAAATGTACGGGGCTCGTTTACGAATTACCTAATTATTCGAACTGTAATTTTTACGGACTGTCCGATTCGATTGTTACCGCGATCGAGGATACAGGGAACAATATGTAGTATTGACAGTCGGTGTTGATGACTTTCGTACGCCCCCCCCCCCCAATATTTATTAATGTTTAATTTACACGTGCGTTTTCCTTGTTTATTTTGTGCAGTATTAAATTGGAGCTGGAGAAACTCGCCCAGGAGAAGACGGAGATGCAGCGCCACTACGTAATGGTGAGTCGAAGACCAATATCTTTTTAGTGTCTGTTTATCGTGAATGAATTTTTCTTTCTTCCTACTTTTCGATGATCTTATTACATTTACGAAATGTTCTCTCTTTCGACGCGTTGCAACGAGCTCACGAAAGAAAACAGTTATCCGTCGAGATAGTAAAACCGAATTTGTGCCACGATATCGTACCAACTACGAGTGTTCCCTTTTATGGACCAGTTAGAAAGGGATGAAAAAAAGAACGTAGACTTCTTAATCAACTCCGTTTCCTGAAACTCGATCTCAGAGTGATCTGTCCGTTGCAGGCTTGCTCGTAATTGATTCTTTTATCGGCCGAAGAAGTTTCCATGCAACGTCCTTAATTGATCATTAAACAATATTGTGGAAACAAAAGCGAAGCTTAACACAGTTAGTAATTTTAACACATTTAAAAATATTTTAATACAAAAAAAAATCCACATAGTAAAACACATTACTCGAAAATAAATAAATATGCAGCAGTATACATACGAGGGCTGTTTGATAAGTCAGTTACTTTATTCGACAATAGTTGGCGCTCAAATCGCAAGACGAATTTCATCATTTTACTAGAATTTATTTCAACTTTATTCCAATACTTCTGTCGAGTATACTCGTAACAGCTTAAAAACCAAATTAAGCAGACAAGTGCACGTTTTCAAAATGAAATAAAACACTTAAAGGATTAAATAACCGGCTCATTTGAGTCCAGTAGACCTGTGTTCGTACTTAATCCGTCGATCGCTGGAATATTCGAGTCACAGCGATCACGGGAATGATGCGTGAATAAAAAAAAAAAATAAAGTCGATGCGTGAGAAACGGGGCCGCGATCCAGGCGACCATCTTTTAGCGCGCTGACCCGCTCCAACAGGCTATCGGCCATTCAGCCGAGTCGCCGAGCTGGTTCCTCTCGCGTATTTCTTCGTGGTCGTGCTACCATCTCCTTTTCAGTCGGTCTCGCGGCTGCACACGTACAATTGTGTGTGTACGTGTGTATGGCTGGCAGCCATGCCGCGGTTTACTTTCGCCCGTAGATCTTCATTATTGCGGCGGAACGTCACCGGTGTATGCGTCTTCATTAGGAAGAGATACAACGCCGCGCGAGTATATACGGACTCTCGGAGTCCGCATATTCGACTCCTACGGAGAGAAGGTCTCTCGCGGGTCGTCGACGCGGCGTGAAAAGACGCCTTTGAATATACACGGTGCACGCATCCCTCCCGTAGGATCGTGTGTCGTTTCTTTGTACCCGGTGTGTCGATTAAACGAACCAGAGGCCACGGACGATCGTGTGCGACGACTGGTTTCTTTTGCTCTCCATGTGTACACGGTATGTTCAAAAAGTACCAAGACTGAGAAGTAATCCTCGTTACAGAACGCGGAAAATTGCACAGATTCTCTTCAATCATCGAAATCAAGCGTAGAAGACCGTTTGCATCAACCAACCGGCTTAACACTTTGACTACCACGTCACCCAAATATGGGTGACACGTGTGTCGCAAAAAGACTGGATCATTTAAATACGGTTACAAAATTTTGCATAAACTGAATCTCATACTATAATTTAAAAGATGATCAACAACCTCCATTAACTGAACGCATATATTTTCGATGATTTATGATTTAAAAAGAGAAAGGAAGCGTGTCTGACTACGTACGACCTTGTTTCACTGTGGCAAACGTGTTAAAAATCACGCGAACTTTTTGGCTAACCCAATAATATCAAACAGTATACAGAAAAATCTCACAAATACGATAGTAAAAGTTATATCGAAAAAAACGAACCAAAAATAAAAAAATTTTATTGTTAAAGTTCTCTTTCTACGTTCGGCGTTGATTCTATATTTTCAGAATCGATTCCTCTACTCAGTAATTATCCGGGTTCCACTTCCAATTTTCGGGTACTAATCCAAGTTTTACTGTACATACATATATCCCTACATTACTACAGGTGTCTGTATCGTATTCGTTTAACTACCGATTTCGTTAAAAAAAAAAAAAAAACAATAACGGACCGATTGGTGTACACGCCTAAATGCATAGATGTGTTCTCGTGTTCACAAAGGGGAATCATGTGTCCCCGAAACAGAAGACCATCCGCCTGGTCGTTAAGAGTTCTATTGTCTCTCGGCCGGGTCTCGCGGTTTATCGTGGACGGTACGACGGTAATTTATAGGCCACACTTCGTGGCCGCGTACGATGCAAATGACTTCATACAAAATGCACGGACGGACTTGCTTGCGTTGGACGTGGCACTTCCGTCGATTCACGCACCACGAAGATTAATCGCGACGGTGCCGTGGTACGCGAACGTCCACGTGTATACACGTACGTATACGCCCAGCTCGACACTGTCTACCAAGCGATTGATCGATCTTCTTCCGAGGCGATCGTCTTTTTTCCATCACTCTCTTTCCCCCCCGTCCTCGTATAGATTCCCCGAGCACGATCCTCGGCTCGTTTCACGCGTTGCATTTCAATTCCGTAACCGGGCACGCAAATCCGCGCGTATCGTCCATCTGTCGTTTTCTATGAAGCCATCGCTTCGTGGCTCGTTTTATAAAAATTCACCTCCACCTCCTTCCACCACCCCCAAGGTTCAGATTTGCTCGGTTCGTTTGTCACACCGCGGCGCGCCGATGAATCGCGAGAAAAATGCGTTCGCGCGCACGTCGATGGGAGAGAGACTGGACGTGAATCGTTTCGCGGCGCGCGGTCATTTATTATTACCAGGCCGCCCCCTTCCCTTCGTGTCATATTACATCGTTTTGTCACTCATGATTAATCATCGAGGCAACAAGAATTTATTGTATTGGTGCCGGATCCGCCGCAGCAACAGGTACACTTGTCGGAACATACACGCTCGTCCCCCGACGTGGCCATCGGAGTCATCCGTGGAACCGCGGGCTCCTAATGAATCGGTTTGTTACGCGGTCCCGTAATCGGAATGATTCGGCTGGAATCAAGAGTCGGGTCATTAGCGACGCGGAACGTTGCTTGTAGAGGAGAAGGATCGTTTCCTTTGGTTCAGGACTTTCGAAAGTGCATTGGAGGGACGGGACGAGCACGGAATGATGTATTAGGCGTACCGATAAATGATCCACTCTATTTTGCCAACTTTCATGTGCATTTTTTAGGAAGTCTGGTACGGAAATATTGTTCAGTAAAAGTAGACAAATACACCCGTCTCTGGTTTTCAGACTTCTACGGTGCAGTCTCCCTTAAGATTTCCCTGAAATCAGACGAATTAAAAGAATCCACGATTTCATACGCGATTTAACAGCCGGATTTATGCTCCCCCCGTTAACCTCGAGGCGTCCACTCGAATCAGAATGATCTTCGATAGAGAGGCATTACCGTACTTCTTCGCGGCGTGGCTGCAGAATGGAAACTTAATTAACTCCGGAATGGAATCGATACTCGTTAGGGCACCGCGATACAAAAAGAAAAAAAAAACGAAACGGAAGGATTAACGGGGGACACTCTTAGCGTGCGAATATCTTGCTTAATTCTCTCGTCGAGCGTGACCTACCTCCCCCCGTTGTTCTCTTTTTCCCACTGGGAATTACCTTCCTTTTTCCACTCAGCGCCGCCTCCTGTACCCGGGCCGGTTTAAAAACGCTTTCGTGTGTTCACGCACCGCGATAGCAAGTAGCCCCCGGCCGTATTTTATATTTCTGCGAGTACATAAACCAAGCAAGCGAATTCGCGATTTTTCCACGCGGAAACGCCCCTCATCTCCCTCAGGGTACGCCTTTTTTCACACGTACCGAATCGACACGTTCCGAACCGAATCGTCTCGAACGCTGAACCCCTCTGATTCTTGTTTGCGGATTCGTTTCCGATATGAAGCGGAGAGACCCGGCACGTTCTACGGACATGCTCGCGACGAGGATGCCTCGTACGACGTCGTTATACGACGATATTGCCCGGCCACGGGGCATTACGGTTTTACGACTGTTTCATGTAATTGTCGAGCTCGTGAACTTTTACGAGCGGGAACCGCGGGCGCGCGCTCGGAAGAGATCGCCTTGAAGCGCATCGTCCAGCGGCGCAGTTTCTGCCCACCGCCCCCCAGTGCATTGACTCTCTTCTCTTGATGCTTCTGACTTGGCGCGGCTGTAACGGCCGTCTCGTATTTTATTCATCGACACGAAGCTCTGAGATGTTCTGTTCGTTTCTTATGAGTGTATACTTGGTGTTTTTTTCTTTACCATTTTTGTTTGTTGCAACTTCCTTGCGTGAAAAATTTAGGTTTTCGTTGATTCTTGGTTTCGAAGCTGTGATTCAGAATACTTTATATACAGTGTGTTCCAGTGGTCCAAATTAATTTAGTATCGTTTGATAAGGTAGAAAACAAATGTTCAGGAAGGGGGTTGTTTGTTTTAAACGGCCAGGTACTCCGATGGCGTACAAGTTCAAAGTTTTGTTGAGGAAGTTACGAAAATAAGGGATTGGAAGGAAACCTATTACGTGTACCGATACGCAACACCGCTATTTCTTGACGGAATCGTGTAGTCGTTTCTATAGAAGCCATTGTTACGCGACTAAAAATTAAGAAGAAAATGGCTGTTTGACCAGACCAAAAGACAGCCAAGAACACTGTCTCAAAATTTTACGTCCGTGCGGTTTATATCGGCGAAAAAGCTTGGTCGCGGAGTTACGGAGTTTGATGGTCACCCCAAAGTACCCAATTAAATTCCGCACGGCGGAGAGGATTTTATGCGTTCGAGGCGTCATCGGGATGGAGGCATCGCCGCGAAAATTCCGCGATGAGTTAATAGAATCGTGCGCCGTGAACGACCACAGTTCGGGTCGTTAACACCGCTAACGTCGCGTCCAACGTCTAGTGCTACGAATTTATGCAATCGCTGTAACAGGCGAGCGTGTGCGTACCTTTCCCCTGGGCCCTGAAATTGGCCCATCCGCGTCTTCTCTTGTATAGTAGTATGTACACTTGTAGGTGACAATATACCAAACACAA